AGGGTTGAAGAAGTGGTATTTGAATTCTGCACTAATCTATTGATCTTATTGAAGGGCAAAGGGAATTGAACAGAGGTAGATGGCAAGGAAGAAGAGGGTGTAGTATATTCAGAACTTAATGGTTGATGAACAACACTGCTTGTATGATATATTCTAGCATTTTTCTTTGTTGAATAGAGATAGACCATAGATGATAATGTAAAGCTTATTATATAGGGAAGTGCATTGGACCAGAGCCTTGAATACATTGAATGTATACAATCCAGCTGTATGAGGTTGTGTTACTATGTTATTGGGCAGGAGGTGTGTGGACAGTAGCAGTCCATTTTGGGAGGGAAACAACATAATCTATTTTATTTTCTTTTTATATATAGTAGGATATGTAGCTCTTGAAGATTTTTTTTCCCTAAATAAATGTTAAAAATACATTCAATACTATAAACATTACTTTAGAATTATGTAAAAGTCAAGCATATGAAGTTTTTCTTGCCCATCATGCTTTAATACGACTTGAAGTGCGCACTCCAAAAGCAAACACTGTCATTGCAATTGGGGTGCAGGCGAATCGAATTGAATATTAAAATAATTGAATTTATATTTGGTTATCTTTTTATTGAAAAAAATGATTTTCAATTTGTATATAAAACAAGACATGCAAATAGGTATCGAATCCTTAATGAATAGTTGAAAAGTGTTAGTTAAAATGATAAATCAAAATTAATTTTAAATCATTCAATTGAAGTTATTTCTAACACTTAAATACTTAATCTAAGAATATTAATGCAAAGCGTCAAACAAAAAATTATGTTTCATAGAATGTAAGTTGCAAAAATTATACGTTGATTTTTATGTTTTTATGTTACCATTGACTAAATTTTAATAAGTTTTAGCTCCCTAAAGTAATACATTGTCTCAAGTGAAAAACACACATTTTACTACTCTCTTCGTTCCAAATTACGTTACATGTTTACTATTTATAAGTTTAATTTTTATTCACTTTCTTTTTTTTATTTTTGTTGCTCATTTGATAAAATAATATAGAAATATCACTTCTTGTTTCATAGATCTTTTGATGTATTTTTTAAACATGTAAGTTTATTTTTTAATTTACTTCAATTCTCTAAAATTTTTTATTAAGAATAACTTTAGTTAAATATCGTAAATCAAAATAGGCAATTTAAATTGGGACGAAGAAAGTACTGAAAAACCATACAACAACAAACTCTTATTTCACTACGTGAGGTTGGCTACATGGAACAAATGGTGCTATTGCATCCTGTTATGTACTTTATCTGTAGCTGAGACCATTCATGCGAGAGTCTCCTTTTACCACTTTGATTGTGTCAAGTCTGTTGAGGGAGAGATTATCTGTCATGTGTGCATCAATTATCCCGTGGCGGAGGCTATGTAGGCCAAATCACAATCGAATATCGTGAGCGCTTGTGTGTGTTGAATATACTATAAGGCTAGAGCCGCTTCTTCTTAAACCAATTGATTTTCAAAGTTTGTAGTGCATGAGGTCCTATAATATTTTGTTACTATTAGTTCATTTTGGTTTGTGAAATATAAAGTTTCGTACGTAGTTCTTGCATTAAATTATTTAGTTTTTAGTTTCTTTACGTTTTTTTATTTAAATATAGTTTGATTTTTCAAATAAAAAGAATTTTTTTACACTTTAACGTATAAATTACGTAGATATATATTCATCTCGATTTATAACAAAATTAATATCGAACAATATCAAACCGATATTTTTTAGATCGAAAATATTCCGTACGATATCTGTACGATCTATATATCCTAATTACCATACCATAATATGCTTACCTCTACTACAAATCATACACACAAAAAATTGAATGGAATTTTCAAAATTTTCAAAATAACCTTATTACTTAATGAGAAAATATAAGAAAAACTAACATCTTCATACTATACTTGTGTATGTGTTCAGTTCAAAATTCTGAATCAATTATTTAGTTCATGTTCGGTTCAATTCTTTTGGAATTTTTTTTGGGTGCATTTTTTGGAACATCTTTTTGAACCGGTATATTTTCAATTCATTTTAGAGCTTTTTTTTTTGTAAATTTAGGAATCTAATACAGTATTTGGGGTTTTTGTTTTTGTTTGAATAATACCCTGAATGGAGTAAAGATTAAATGCGACAACTTCAGGGGTAAGCCTCCGCATGTGACCACTAAAGTGTGTTTTCAAATTTCCTCTTCTCTCGATAAACCCACAGAGAAAGATAAAAAGAGAGAAATATTACTTTAGTGCGGAAAGAGAGAGGAAAGTGGCGTTCAAATTTTTGAAATAAGACCGCAGAGAGAAAGGAAGGGAAGAGAAGAACGACTGATTTCAGAATCTGATCCGATCTCAGCTCAAATCAGGCAATATGGCAGCCACCCCTGTTCGGAAGCCGCACACTTCCACCGCCGATCTGCTCACCTGGTCCGAGCTCCCCGCCGCCGACCCCTCTTCCGGAACCGCCTCCCGCTCCTCCGCCCGCACTTCTCACCAGGTACTCGTTTCCTCCATTTCGCATCTGCTTAATCCGTTGTTTTCCTCTACCAGCTGACTAGAGCTCTGTGTTTCGATTATCTTCACAGCCTTCTGACGGAGTCAGTAAGGTGCTATTTGGAGGTCAGATCACGGATGAAGAAGCTCATAGCCTAAACAAACGGTAATATTATCCGGTCTAAACTGTTGACTAATTATATAGTAGGATTAGGATTATCCGAGATGTTCTAGTTCTAGTAGGAATAGAATTATGGGTTATAAGCTTAATTAGCTCTATATATATCTTAGCCAAGCTTGGGTTATGATATGAGAAATATATGAGAATTTATTGTAATTGGTTTTGAGTTATTTTCCAGTTATAATAAAGAGATTGTTTCCAACAATGGGTATCAGAGCTAGATTGTTCAATACTAGAACAAATTGAAAGAAAAAAAAACTTGTCACCACCGTCGCAGGCGTGCCGATCCGAGCCTAGGGTTGGAGCCGCCGTCGCAGCTGTCCGGATCCGAGATTGAACTTGCCGCCGCCGCCGAGTTGAGGAGCCGCGCCGTGTTGAGGAGTCGTCGTCGTCCTCAGATTGACGCCGCTGGTTCGAGGAGATAGACGCCGCTCGTTCGAGGAGATCGCTGCCGCTGATCCGTCAGTGCGCCGCCGCATCGAGTCGTCACAGCCCAGGTCCCGCCACCGCCTAGCAGCAGAGGTCTCGCCGCTGCTGGAATCCACACAGGTCGCCGTCCAGATTCTGACGCGCACAGCAGGTCGCCGTCCGAAGGATTTGAAAGCCGTCCCGCGTGAAGTTGCTGCCGACCACGCACAGAGCAATCGTCGTCCAACCACGCGCACAGCCTGGTCGCTAAGCCGCCGCCGTCTCCCAGTCGCGACTCCGCCAAAGTGCCGCCGCGTTGTTTTCAGGAAGGGGATCGAGCAGTGGTCAACCTTTTTTTCTTTGCTTGGATTGGAGATTGGGCTCAATTTGGTGGTCTGGGCCAAGATTGAAATTAGTGTGGTGGGCCTGATTTCATGAAAAAAGGATTGGATTAAACAAGTAAGGTTTAATCAAATTTGCTTCAATCTCAAGATAACAAGTCCCAGTACACAAGTTAGCATGATTGGAATGAAGAATTTTGTGGGTAGGGATCTACAAAGAGTTGATCGACTGAAAGAAGGTACGCAAAGTACGAGTCAGAATCTTCTCAGAGATCCAAGTTTAATGGAAAAACCCAAAATTCAGAGTCCAAAGAAGAATGTTCAAGAGTTTAAAGGAGATGTCAAGAAAAGGATTCTAACCCAAGGAAGGACGTGTAATGATCGCAAGGAGCAAGTGTTTGTTCAAGCTAAGTGGAGCCCGAAGAACACTGCAAGGGATCATGAAGAGCCTCGGGAGAATCAAGATAAAGAAGACATGCTTGGAGTTGAAGATCACCCGCAATCCAACTCGAAAATTAGGGGGGTGATTNAAAGAAGAATGTTCAAGAGTTTAAAGGAGATGTCAAGAAAAGGATTCTAACCCAAGGAAGGACGTGTAATGATCGCAAGGAGCAAGTGTTTGTTCAAGCTAAGTGGAGCCCGAAGAACACTGCAAGGGATCATGAAGAGCCTCGGGAGAATCAAGATAAAGAAGACATGCTTGGAGTTGAAGATCACCCGCAATCCAACTCGAAAATTAGGGGGGTGATTGTTGACTAATTATCGAGTAGGATTAGGATTACCCGAGATGTTCTAGTTCTAGTAGGAATAGAATTATGGGTTATAGGCTTAATTAGCTCTATATATATATCTTAGCCAAGCTTGGGTTATGATATGAGAAACATATGAGAGTTTATTGTAATTGGTTTTGAGTTATTTTCCAGTTATAATAAAGAGATTGTTTCCAACATAAACTAACCGCACTTGACAAATATATATTCCGAATAATGGATTCTATAGAACGCATCGATTCATCTCTATTCACTTTTTTTTGGGTATACATCTATTTAGTAACACCTTTGTCAATTGAAGGAACTAATTCAACCAAAGAGTAGGCCCATGATAGATTTACTCCGTATATTTTAACACGCACCTTCACGTGGAGCAAAATTTACTTTTGTTTGAGACTTTGATCCTTTGGTTGAATTGGTTCCTTGAACTTGGTATCAAAGCCTTGATGACTTACAAGTCATGAGTTCGAACTTTTGATTGAGTTAGTTCCTTGACATGGATTATTATGGTGTTACCTTCATATGTATGTGAAAATTTGATAAAATATTAGATCTGTTTTATGGACTTTCTCTTATAGCAGTATAAGCATCTACATAGTGATGTGATAAACATTTATTTGATTTTTTTTAATTATTTTATTCATGTGAGAAGGTTCATGCATTTTTAGGTGCATGGGAGAAATACTCATAAGAGAATCCCAGAACTATAGATATTTCATACCCAGTTCAAGTGCTGGTTTCTATTACACTCATCCCTTGCAAGACAGTTCAATAATTGGCATGCGATTAAGTTTCTATTACAGTCATTTACCAACCGGGGCTTTGTATTATTATGGTAATCTTCAGGAAACCTTGTTCCGGATATAAACTGAAGGAGATGAATGGCAGCAACATTTTTCTTGCTGACAGCGAGAATGGCGACATGGATTCTGGAGCTGTAAATGGCAATGTAAACAACAGAACTTCTGTCCGTATTGTTCAGGTATCCCCTTTATATGGTTATAGCTTAGCTTGGTGGATCTCAACTTGCCAAATTGTCATGCTGTATATCCCATTTCTTTATATTACAGCAAACTGCAAATGGAATCAGCCAGATTTCATTCAGCACTGAAGAAAGAATTTCGCCGAAAAAGCCAACTACTATACCGGAGGTGGCAAAACAACGTGAATTGAGTGGAACTCTTGAGAGTGAATCTGATCTGAAAGCCACAAAGCACCTGTCTGATGCAAAGTGCAAGGAGCTTAGTGGGCATGACATATTCGCTCCACCTTCCGAAGCACCACCACTGTCGTTGACCGCTGCCCGCTCCATTGAATCAAAAGAAAGCAAATTCATGGGAGAGCCCACCCCGCGTAATGTCCGCACTTCGGTCAAAGTTTCAAATGTGAGTGGTTTATGTTTTTTGTCTTGACTAGACCTGACAAAAAATGACCCGGTATGTTTTTGACCTGAGATCTGACTCAAAAATACTGAGTTTTGAACAAAAGTTTTGTTGACAAAACCCAAAATGACCCGCTAAAAGGGGTCAAACCCGACCGAACCCAACCTGACCGACCCGCTAGTATAAGAATTTTTTAAAATCATATACTTTAATATGAAATATAATGTTATGAAAATAAGATTATAATTATATTTCATTTTTTACTATTGATATCGCATAATTATCTTTTTTTTTCAAAACGAATTATTACTTTTTCTACTACTTTTTTCGTAAACTTTCTGGTTCCCAAATGGACCATGAGAGAATGCATACCACCTTCAAGGCAGGTTACTAACTTTTGAGCTCTTGTGACAACAGCCTGCTGGGGGCCAAAGCAATATCATGTTTGGGGACGAACCGGTGGTGGAAGCAACAAAGAAAATTCATAACCAGAAGTTTGCAGAGCTGACAGGGAACGGCATCTTCAAGGGAGATGTTCCCCCGGGGTCTGCCGAGAAGCATCTTAGCAGAGCAAAGCTGAAGGAGATGAGTGGCAGTGACATATTTGCCGACGGGAAGGTTCAATCCCGCGATTACTTTGCTGGGGTCCGCAAGCCGCCAGGCGGTGAGAGTAGCATTGCACTTGTTTAACCTCCAATCAATGGTCTCATCATCAAGCTGGTTTATTAAGGTTTTATGTCAAGTTATTTTGATTTATGTTCACACTACCACCCTTCCTGATGGGTTCATGTTAATTAGGGATGCGTGAGCCGTGGTGTGATGACAATCCCAAGGATTTGAGTAGTGTTGGTATTTTGGGAGTGTTGGTTAAACTAGTTTAGGTTCCATTGGCCCCTGTTTGTTTGCGTTTGTGTGTGTTTACTCTAATATGTTAGTGTCACCTATGCTTGATTGAACATAACGATCACATTGTGAAGAATGCGGTGGGCAAAGGTTCTTTTGACCAAGCCAAAAATGACTAGAGAATGATCCGGACATTTTGGGCCACTATGGTGTTACGTTAGTAAAATTAGTGGTTTCTATCTTCCCTAATCCTCCTAAAACCCTCAGCCCCTTGTACCCCACCTCAACCCCACCCCCTTCAAGTTTGTTGATTTGGGCAAACCAAATTGGCGATATAGGAGTAGGTTGCGGGGTGTGCAGGAAGATAAAAAGGAGTTGAAATCATCAATTTTACCAACGGAGTACCATAGATGCCCCGAGTCATTCTAAACTTTAATTTACCTTCTGTCCAAACAACCGTGGTGTATTTGGAAATAATGTTTCTAATTACCGTTAAAGCTTGAATATTTTTAATAATATAGATTAAGTTTAAAATACTAAAGCTAAAGATTTTCATACTACAATTTTTTTTAAAAAAATAAGGACTCATTTGGTGAGTTTTGGAATGTTACATGTTATTTGTATTGTAAAATTACATATTCCCTTACTTTTATAGAAAGAAAAAAAGTGAGAATTTTTTTTTGGAAAGATTGAAAAAAGTGGACATTTTATTTGGGGCTGAAGAGAGTATATATTACTCCATACCAAAAAAAATCAAAGCCTACAAACATTCATAGAATGATGGTCATGATTCATAATAATGTAAATAAACAAAATCTAAACAACTACTCCATATTTTATGAAACATTAATTTTATGATTTTAGACATAAATATGATTATAAGTTAGTTGAAAGCATTGTTTCGTGATTTTATAAAATTGAATGATTTTATATTTATACTGGAGTTTAGAGATAGATATTAGTTAGACTCCGCAATTGCTAAGCACATTTAGGGAGGAACACTTGGCCCCAAACCCTTGTCGTGTCGGTTGGTGCCACACATGAATCCCAAAAGAATTCCACCAACTGTTGCTAAAGTGAAAAGTCTAATTCACATCCATTTTGGGTTATGCTGGGCCAACCTTTTGTTTTGGTACTTTTGTTTTTAATTCATCCATCTATTTCAGACACAGAATGCACCGGTTTACACTAGAAAAATTTATTTCAATCCTAGTGTAAAATAGTGCATTTCGAATCTGCGATAAATTGATGATTCCATTGTTATTTTTTTTAAAAAAAAAAACTTTTTTTTAGAAAAGTATGTATTTTCTGCATAATCACTTCAAAGTGCTTAGTGAAATTCAAGTAAAATTGAAGTCCGACTCAGTTTTATTTTCGAAACAAAAGTGAGAGGTGCAAAATAACCAGCAAGGATCAGAAATGCAGCACACCAACAAGTCCAAGAAGAGAAAACAGTTTCAGGAAAAGGGGGAATAAGATGATTTGCTCACGCGTCGTCGTGGCCGATCAAAGCCAGAAGCATCCTTTCATAGTCCCCAGAGGTGTCTCCAGCAATCGCACGCTCCAGAGGAATGCTGTTCCGTTTATGATATTCATTTTTGATAGACTCCATGTCAACCTCAGCTCTTGTCGTCACAACTCTTGTGAGAGCCCATTCGTCTGTTCCCAGCCCTTTGATTGCCATCCGAAGAACCTTCTCAAAGTACTTGTCAGGGTATGTCATGCACTTGATCGCTGCTCTTAGTAACGCGAGGTACTCATCTTTAGGATCCGCCTTCAGATCCTGGACGCATGCTTCCCAAATTAGAGTAGAGTTTTTTGTACAAAATTGTTTTTTTAGTTCACTCTAAAATCAAGTTAATATTTAATTTGCTCAGATTGACCTGACCCATTGATTAAAGTGGGAAATTTCAAAATTGGCAGAGCAAAAATCTAAAGGCATCTTAAAATTTTTTACGTAAGAGTTACCTTGTTGATTGGGTTCCCGAAATGATCGTTGTAATGATTCAGGGTTGCATTCAGCTGTGCTTTACTCCTAGTAGTGAGGACCCTAAGAAGTTCCTCATCACTATAAGCCTTTTCAGAGATCTTTTCATGAAGTATGTTAGCCTCTTTTCTAGCCAATGTCATGTTCACCTCATCTCCCTCATACCTGAATACACTCACCAATGGAACCAATAGCTGGTTTTGGGTATTGGTGAGAAAAATGAAAAATGTGTGTCAACTTCAGTACTCCACTCTCATGAATTCACATAATTACCATTTACCAAATTCCTCACAAATGATTATGCCAGAAACACAAGTATAAGATCAGAGTACATCGCATACCTTCCTAATGTCCCCAGATGTGTGATATGCAACATCTTCTTCAAGTGATTTCTTGAAGCGTTCATGGTACTTCTGCCTGACCTTGAAGAGATCACGAGAAGACCTAGTGCAAGCAATTTCCATTATAACCCGGTTGCTAGAAGTTAGGCGTTTTGTGGCTTCGTTAACCAGGTATGCATCTCGCTCCGCAGGCTCCAACGTCCATAGCAGGACAGCACGCTATTATGTCACATAAGAGTCAGCTATATATGTGTTCGACTGGTGAAGTCTTTTATGGCTTACAAATCACCTTTTTACCCAAATACTAACAAATTTCACTGGCATGCACTGAGTGATTTGATTGAGTTGCGCATGAATTATTTTTATGAGGTGTGCTAGGGGTACATCATGTTTGTACCCCAACTTGCACACCAAGTGTATCACAGACACACACACACAATAATTGTCCGTGAGATTCATAGACAATTCTTATCTTTGTGTGTGTGATACACAAAATGGTGTGCAAGTTGATGTACAAACTTGGTATGCCCCGAGCTTTTTTCTATTTTCATTTCTGAATTTAAAGGACATTCTAACCTCCACGTTTATTTTCCTTAATTTTCAACCACTCCTACCATTTTAGTCCTTACTAATGACCAGGCTCTAGATTCCAGAACTGGGCCAAGACAAACCTGAAAGTCACTTGAAAGTTCAGAGTCCAAGTCCTTAAGAAGATCCTCATTATAGGTTGAGGCATAGATATCGCGGATTGACTTGCGCTGTTCAGCAATCCTGTGAGCCAATATCTGAATTATGAGTGCCTCGTTTGTTCCCCATCCTGCGAATCACATAATCAATTATCATTACCATTGTGCATTACCATCTTGCAATTAAGCCCACTGCATTCAGTCAAGCAAAACCAAATCGCAGGATCAGAAAACACAATACAATGTCAAAGGTCTCTAATCTAATGGAATTGGCACACTGCACCGCGCCTCATTTTCCATGCGTTCAAATCCGCGGTTCAATTGAGAACCAGTGATCACCGGTTACAGATCATAAAAAGCCAAAGGAATCAAAGTAATAGCAGTAACGATAATAATTGGGGAAGAGAACGCAGAAATCAAAACTGTTAATAAACGCATAAACAGCATGATCGCCATGATCGGAGATCCAAATGGAGTTTATCATATGATCGGAGAACCTGCAAAAGCCTTTCGGAGTTGCTCGGAATCCTCAGCGGGAGAAGGAACAGAAGCTGGAACTCTGAGGCTCGCCATTTTCAAAGTTTCTTCTTACCTGGACTGGACTCTGCGGCACTAATATATATGGACATGGTGACGCCATACTTTAATGACGGATTGGTTGGTGGTATCGGCTAGCGACCTTCCTTTCGCTTTCTTTGGTGTGTTGGCGAGAAAGAAAAGAAAAAATCGGTCACGCGTAAGGAATGACTACTATAAAAAATCTCGTCTTTATTGCTTTTTCAAAAATGACCCAACATGTATAATGTATCTAACTTTACTAAAATTTTTGAACTTTGGATCACTGTTAAGTTGCTGACAGTGACTTAACAAAATTGAGCCAAACGGAGCCAATCTAGAACTAATGAATCGGCCAATCACATTGGATTCAAGTTTTGTACTTTTAGATTTGAATTACTTTGGGTTTGGATTATTTCAAGCTCAGTCGAGAACTCGATGTTTTTTTATCCACTATCATCGAATTCGAATCAATCCAATATATTATGAGATGTATTTTTAAATACTTATTAAATGACGGAGGGAGTATTAAAGCTATTTAATCGAACGAAAAATTACTTTGGGACGTCCAGAAAAGAAGAAAGATTATTTAATGACAGAGGAAGTATCAAAGCTCTTGGAATACAGAGTATTTTATTTTGCATTTAAACTATGGAGTAATATTCAAACACAAATTCACTTCTACCCTCTAAAAGCATCTCCAATGGAGAGATTATAAAGTGTATATTGTTAAATATACACTTTATACACTACAATATATACATTTTAGCCCTTCCAATGGATAGTATAAATAATGCACTATAGTCCAAAATACAATTCTGAACTTCTATATATATACACTTTCCTATTCACATCTTGTAAAAAATTTAGAGAAAAATTTAGCTAAATAGGACTAAAACATAATGATTTTTTCAATATAGGACCATATGTTTTTATTTCCCAATGTAGGACATTTGGTCATTATCAAATAGTCATTATTCAACTAAATGTCCAAATCATTACTGGACATTATTTCTTCCACTAGGTCATTATTAAGTCCTATTTAGGGAATAAAAAAGTTTAAGTCCTACATTAGGAAAATCATTATGTTTTAGTCCTATTTAGTGCAAATTTCACAAAAATTTATTACTAAAATAATGCATGATTAATTTTGTTAATTCTTCTTATAGAATATAATTTATTTAAAATATCTAACTATTAGTAAATTATTATTACTCTTTCAATTACTTATAAATAATTTTTTTAATAAAATGTTGTAGTATGTTTTTTTTTACTTTTTTTTACTATTTTTTTTATTTCTTGTTTCTTAATACTCTATAACCATAGTTTAAAATATATGTGTCATCAGAATTTTTAAACTATATATATTATCACAATTAAATAACTTAAAATATTAAAATAAAATAAAAGTGTATTATGTAGAAGATATGATTGGAGTGGATATTAAAAAGTGGATGTGTAAAACACTGTTGATAGTGTAAAACTAAATATAGCCTACCTATTTTTACACTTTCCATTGTAGATGCTCTAATAATTTTTACCTCACCTATCACAGCATAATATTCAATAATGATCTAACCAACACACCCTAGTTTTACCTATCAACTCAAGTAGAATTTAGAAAATCAACAAAAAATATCTCTTTCTTAAATTTCATAAATGTCCAAACAAGAAGATTTAGGCACAAAGAGGATACACTTTTTATAAAAAAAAAGAAAAGTAGGATAATAATACAATACCAATAAAAACGCATTTGAAAAAGAAAAGTAGGATAATAATACAATACCAATAATAACACAAAAAAGGAGTTTTTAGAAGAAAAAGAAATAATTATACTTCTATTCTTAAATATTTGTCTACTTTTGACTTTTTTCAATCAATCATTATCTACTTTTGACTTATAATTAAATAAAATGTATAAACAATATCGATTAGATAAAATAATAGTTTGAAAATACTATATAAAACAAATCTAATAATATCACGAAGTATCATATTAATATCTAATATCAATTTTATTTATATTATAATCAAAACTTATCAATTTTGACTGCAAAAAGTTAAATTAGCCAAATGTTCAATGACGGAAATATTATTGTTTCTTTTTCTTCTTAAAACCCCTTTTTTTGTTACTTATTTTTTGAGTTCGATTGGTTAAAGTTTGGTCGTTACTGGTACGGAAATCTTCCCATTGAATCAAAGCTATATAAACTACTACTCAGGTGGTTTCACAATCCGCAAGAAAAGAAGTTTTCCCTTTGTTCTCTATGACCGAGGAGAACTCCTAGTCGAAGCCCAACATGAACTCCTCCTCTTTAGAGTGGCTTCCTCCCGCTTTGCCAGAACCAAATTAATCGTCGAGACCCACTTTTATTTTTTGTTGGCAGTGCCTTCTACTGTGTTGATTCAACGTTTTGCAGAGTCACTTTCTTGTAATCAATTACGCCAGCTCGACTTGCTAAAGTATATTAAAGTATATGAGGAAAGAAACTTGATTTGTCTAGTTCCTCAGAACGCATCGAGCTGGCTTGGAATCCTCCAACTACACAATATCTTGAGTACCTATGATGGTGACCACATCTGCTGGCATGTGATGTTTGGACATAGAATCGAGTCCTTGTGAATGGGCAGAGCCAGGTGCTCTTATTTTATGACGGTAGGGACGATTGCTTCCATTACTGACCAGAAAGACACCAAATTCTCCTTTAGGTGCTTCAACTGCGGTATAGGTAGAAGAAGCTGGTACGGAAAAACCTTCTGTATAAAGTTCGAAATGGTGAATTGAGGTAGAGTAGACTGATGATCCTGTAGTCATTTGGAAAAGCTTGCATCTACTTCCCCTATAAGCTTCGCTAAAGTGTTGAACTATGTTCAACGAATCTCCTTTCAGAGACTTCGTTCGGAATCGTCTAACTACGTTCAACTCATTTGAAACGAAATGAGTTTTTTGAAACGAATCTCTAGCTACTTCGTCCCATCTCTCTCCAAACCTAACGTGGTAGTTTCCCATCATAAGGCTTTCTATCTATAGATTAAGCCATTACCAAGGAGCTAATTCGTTCAGAACTGAGTTTAAAGAATAACATTACTGGTATGATATAGGGAGTAATTAACAAAACAAAAGGTACTACTTTTTTTTTTTGTTGAAAATAAAGGTACTACTTTTAGTAAAACTAAAAAGTTGCATTACAAACACAAGAGAATAAAATACACCCGGGCCTACATTTGGTGCTTGGCAGCATCAGTTACGAGGGGGAAGTAAGGAGTTTTCCCAAAAACACTGGCGAGAAGCCCATACAAAAAGCAGCCCACTACGAACACAAAAAGCCCATTATACATCCATATCGTTATCTTGAGCCCGATTCCTGCCCGACCCGGAGCGAAGATCCGCTGAACCAGAAGCGGCACCACCAGGAGGATGTCAAGCACCAGCGCCTGGAGCGAGTTGAAGCGGGCGTAATGGCTAAACCTCTCGTTGCGGACGATTCCCAAGTAGATGGCGAAGAAGGAGACGAAGCTGGCGAAAGGGACGGAGCGGTAGAGGGAGAGGATCGGGAGGATCGGGTCGAATGGGATGGCTAGGGTTGGGTATTGGGCCAGGAGGAAGCGGCCGTACTGGAGGCCGTTGAAGAGCGGGAGGAAGTACGCCGCGGCGGAGATTAGCCGGTCGGTGGCCGGCGTCGGGCCGTAGGAGGCGCAGATTGGGGATCCGGCGCGGTGGGGCTTGGGCGGGGATCGGGTTTGGAAGAGATTTGGTGAGTTGGGTGTGAGAGGACGGGGCAAGAGGCGGCNCGGAGCGGTAGAGGGAGAGGATCGGGAGGATCGGGTCGAATGGGATGGCTAGGGTTGGGTATTGGGCCAGGAGGAAGCGGCCGTACTGGAGGCCGTTGAAGAGCGGGAGGAAGTACGCCGCGGCGGAGATTAGCCGGTCGGTGGCCGGCGTCGGGCCGTAGGAGGCGCAGATTGGGGATCCGGCGCGGTGGGGCTTGGGCGGGGATCGGGTTTGGAAGAGATTTGGTGAGTTGGGTGTGAGAGGACGGGGCAAGAGGCGGCTGCGGTGTTGGTGGGGAGGAAGGTAGACCGTGGCGGCGAAAGGCGGAAGCGAGAGGCGGAACAGAGTGGCGGAGGCCATTATGTTCTCAAGGGGTTTTTGCTCGCGTCGGCCTCTCAGGGTATGGACTCCGGGCAGATAATGGTAGAGCGTTTAGTATTTCGGCCAGGTTCCATGGCCACTAAAAGGAAGCTACTGCCCCCTTACGGAACTCCGTTCATAAAACTGATGATTCCTATCCTCCCTAACCCCCTGTCAAGTCCCGACCCAAACTCATCACCCCACATACGTCAATTGCACCTCGTAAGCCTTTAAAGTCAAAACTTTTGACTTTATGCTTACGAGGTGCAATTGACGTAGGTGGGGTGATGAGTTTGGGTCGGGACTTGGCAAGGGGATTTACCGGGAGAGTTAGGGGGTAGGAATCATCAATTTTATGAACGAAGTTCCGTAGGGGGGCAGTGGCTTCCGTGGCCACTGGATTCCAGTGGCCATGGAACCGGGCCGTTAATATTTACCCTTCATAACATTTTGACTTGAGGTTTGTTTGTTAACTAAGAAATGACTTTCCTCGATTAAAAAAATGACTTATTGAAAGTCTTTTTCCTCATGGTTGATTCAGGGGTTAGTTTTTTTACCTCATCTGAATAATTCTAATTTGATTGGAATAATTTCTAATTTGATTTAAAATGATCTGATTTGAATGTAATTATATTTAAATGTGTTTCTGATCTGATCTAAACTGATTCGAATAAGAATAAGTAATTTTCCACTTCGTCCGGAAAAAAACTTTCCTGTTTGACTTTTCTTCATTTTTAGACAATAATTTTAGTAAGTGCTTGGAAAATGAATAGTCAATGAAAAATTAGAATTTAACAAATAACTAACGAAAATAGGGTATATATAAACACTATATCATACTGGCTATGTTCTACAAAAAAGAGTATATATAAACACTATATCAAAAGTTCTACAAAAAAGAGATAACATGGCTATGTTATTTTAACAAATAACTAACGAAAATAAGTAAAAAAAACAATTAAAATTTAACTATGTGAATAGTGTCTGGAAAGAAAATTATAAGACGGAATTAGTTTTTGAAAGAGCAAAACCAATGTGTATTGGTGGCAATGATGAACTCTTTCAAAAAACACATAGGGTGCCAACAAAAATTACAGAACATCGTGTGGTGTTAAGTTTGGTATACAATACTAATAATTTGGTTTATTTTAGACACAAGCAAGCTTAATGCACCATATGAGGTGCATAGACACTACATACATATATTATATATATATATATATATATATACATACACAATTTTTACATACATACATACAAACATAACATATATGAGGAGAAGTATTGACATTCACTCACCATATGCATTATATATCAACAAGAAATAGCCATGTTATTCCTTCCTCATCAATTTTGAGCTTTCCCTTCCCCCTTCCAAACAAACTTGCCAAACTCACCCATATTAGGTCGGCTCTTCATCCACATCCTTAAGCCCGTTTCACTTTGGACATTTTCGCCCCTCCATCCGCTTTAAGACACCGCTCGCCCCGCAGCTTGCCATTGAAAGCTTTGTTTCACTAGCTTTCTTGATTGATTCTGCAACAAAATTATGACACTAGAACTCTAACTCGATCTATATATATCCTTCCCAAACAAAGAAATTCTTCAATTTCTTGGAAACAAGCAACCACAAAATGTACTGTTGAGTTATACTTATCCCACATCGGCCGTGTTTATAATGGATTGGGTACCTCTACCCCTCAAGTTAGCTTTTAGGGTTGAATTGGATCCAAATCTATTACGGAGTATTTCACAAAGCATCAAAGCTAAGGTCATTGATGTTGGATAACACTAAAAGTTACGGTTAGATAATTTTTTTCAAAACACTAATCTCTAACGCTAATGTCAAACTAGAAAAAGTAATTATAGCTTTAGAGATGGAATAAGAGTATAAGACCTCAATTATCCGGCCACGATCATTGACGGATATGATGTTTCCCCGGGGCGGCCATGGCAATGGCCGAAGGGAGGAAGATGACAGCTTCTCAGTATCATCAACCGTACAATCCTGAGGAATTTCGAAAAAGGACAAGGAGAATTGCTTTGAAACGACGCCGACATCGAAGTAAATCAAGCCAGAGCTGGGGATATCCACCCTTATCTCGTTGACAGGAAACCAGAGGAATAGCTCCTGGGCCGCGATGCCGGAGAGGTTCGAAATTTGGCCGTAGCTTAGGGTTCCGGTGACGGTCACATCGAACCACACATCCGTCTCGAATTGGGCGGCGCACGAGCGAGATCGCCGGAGCTCGAGCCGCCCGGAGGTCGGATCAAGCGAGAACTCCGAAATTCCCTTCGGAAATATGCCGGGGGGAAGAGCGTGGGCCTTCAGGAGATCGTAGATCGTCGGGGACGCCGAGAGGCGATTGTTCTTCGATTGGAGTTGGGGAGACGAAAGGGTTTCGGTGAACGTTACAGAGAAAAGTGTGGTGAAAATGTGGATTGTTGTGAATATAGATAATTTCGGATCATTCTTCGAAGCCATTTTAGGGTTTCAAATGGTGATCTCTATCTTCTCCGCCGTGCTGGGTTGAGATGAAACGGTGGTTGATGCCGGCGCCGCCGTAAACAACAGTTCTTTTCACCCTTTGTTATGTCTAATTCTCTGGCGAAGAAATTTTTGAAAGTTCTCCTTTCACCTTATTTTACCATATCTATCGCGCGTCTTAATTTGAACCTTTTTATTTAAATTAGAATTTTAAAACAATTACTTAGGCCATCTTTGATTTTCTAATAAAAATCTCAAGAAATCAGCCTAAAAAGAAATAAAATATATAAAAAGTACTACCTCCGTCCTCTGTTAGCTTATTCGGATACGGGTATAATACGTCTATTCGTACGTTCGTGTATAATACGGACCACTTTTTAAAAATACGTCTTATTATACATTTTATACGTTCGGAGTACGTATACGGATACATTCGCATACTATACGTTTGATATTTAAAAAATAGGGCTTATAATGAATGCATATATTTTTAATAAGAAACACATTTTAAACTTTGAAATTGAATACAAATACATCATAAAGTTCTAAAAATGTAACCAACACTACGATTTATTGTTTATTCATTTTTTCCATGTGTACCCAAAGGAGATCTTTCAATCTAATTATTATTGTGTACTTTCACAAAATGTATTCAAAGTAAGAACACATTCTGAAAAATGAAGCCTACATTATTTAAGACATGAAAAATTTATATTATTAGACAATTTATATTTTACAAAATTAATTAAATATTTATCATGAATTTAAAAGGAAGATTTAGGTCTCTTTATAATTTAAATATGAACTTACTAAATAATGCTTTACACAATTTAAAAGTTGAGTAAAATTAAATTTAGTCTATATTTTTTATTTTTAGAATACAAATATATAGTTACGAACTTAGATTTTTTTGAATTTAGATCATATAAATAAAATCAAATTTGTATTTTTAAACGTGGACAAATATTTAATCTTAAGGACTAAATACAAAAAATTGACCACATTTTCAAAATCTAAACAAATAGAGAAATATGTTGTTGTCTACTATTCGCTAGTGCAGATGCAATGTTGGATTTTCAGCCAGACGAAGCCGAAGAGACTGGTAGGGTGTGGGTGACATTTTATTAACAAAAGATATTGGAGGATGACTTGAACTGCGATCCGACTTTTAATACTTTTATAATAATTGAGTCGCCAAATTTTAAAGATGTGTATTTTTGCAGAAAGACAACCAATTTATTTGATCTCATCTGAATTTGACCCCAATGATTTTACAATATAATACGTATAAAATTCGTAAATACGTTTTGGGTCAAAAATACGTGTATTATACGTTCGTCCCATTAAAAATTCGTATTCGGGAGTATAATACGTGTATCATACGTACGGGTGTATAATACGCGTATTATACGCGAATAAGCTAACAGAGCCTCCGTCCCACTGTCTTTGTCCACTTTTGACTTTTGGAACTATTCATCTAAGCACTTTGACTCATCAAATTTTCTCAATGTATAAGCCTAAAAATAGTCATGTGTGATCTTGTTTGATTCGTCTTAACATATAGATTATTAATATATAATTTCTATAATTTTTTAATATACAAATTACAAGATAAAATAGATTAAAGAAGTGCATTGGATGGTGTGCCAAAAGGTAAGTGGACAAAAACAGTGGGACGGAGGGAGTAATAAAATAGAAATTTCATTTTTATCTCAAAAATAAGAGTTTGCACCGTGGTAATGTAGCACTGTATATGGAAAATTAAGTCATGAAGGGAATCTGTTGTGCATCTATCCAAAAAATTGTTATGAATATAACTTGAACTAAATATTAAAGAAACCTTACTCTATCTGTACTCTTTTAGTCCCAAGAGATACAAAAAATAAGAATTTTTTTAGTAAAAAATGAAATTATTTGATTTGAAACAAATGAAGTACTCCGTATATTTTAATTTTTTTATTTCATTTTTCATTTCTAACAAAAGTAAATTTCATTTTTAAAACACTTTAAAGAAATATTTTTGATAACAACTTTTCATTATTTCAAACACAAATCTTTTTAATCTCTTTATGAAAAAAGAAGAAAATAAAAATGGAAAGTAATAAAGAAAAAGAAGAGGGGTTTTTGTGCCTATTTCTAGAATACAGAACAAGAGTGATACTTCCTCCGTCTGGAAATATTTTTCTCATCTTGATTTGGCACGCTTATTAAAAAGTAGTAAAAAGAGTGTCAAATTTTCAAAAATGCATGTACTATAAACTTCTAAATATCCTTTTCTTATTAAAAAGCAATAAAAATAGATTAGTGATAAAATAGAAGAATATTAATGAAATTTATCCTTATTAAATACACTAAAAAATGGAAAGAATATTTTTGGTGAGCCAAAAAGGAAAGTGAGAAAAATATTTCCAGACGGAGGAAGTATTAATTTAATATTTGAAAGATATTTTAGTCGAGGGAGACATCACCTTATGAATATTATAACTATGGAGGGTAACGACCTAAGCTTTGAAAGAATGAGGAGTAATGGTGCACCTTTATCAAACCACGAGGTTATTGGTGCAATAAATTTAAGCCTGACCTCTTTACTTGTTTTTATTTTATAGAACTAGACCGGAATATTTTGAAATGAGACCATAAGATCGGCATTCCCATCCATAAGCCATGCACGTGTTCAACTAATTTTTTCTTTTATATAAACAATTATGTCTAAAAAGGATGTAGAATCTACTTTAAACAAAGTAAATAAAAATAAATAATGACATCTAAGACATTCTCAAATCTTACTCTCGTGGGATTGAATTAGAGGATTGAATTAGATTGTTGTTGTGAATTCGAGAGCTATGCCACGGTTTGAGCATGTGGATGCCAAAAGAGGGGCATGTAAAATATTTTAAGTGGAATTCCCGCTTGAACATCTTTTAAGGATGATACCACTTTAGATGCTAAAAGGGTGATGTCGAAAATGAGATCAAACTTGAGATACATACTTTCTCTAACCGCGTCGTTGTAATTTAAAAAAATGTAAAAAATAAAAATATAATTGATTGAATTTATTGAAAGAATGAGAAAAATTATGGAGCATATACTTTTACTCAGTGTTTTTTTAAGGAGAATTTACTTAAATAGCACTAAAACATAATGACTTTCTCTAAATAGCACTACATGTGTTTTTCTTCCCAATGTAGCACTTTTAGTCATTATGCATTAGACATTATTCAAGTAAATATTTGTCATCACTGGACATTATGAACATTATTAAATGCTATTTAGGGAATAAAACAGTTTAAGTGCTATTTAGAGAAATGATTTAAATTTTAGTGTTATTTAGTACAAATATTTATTTTTTTAAAACTAAAGAAGTGAAACCATTATTTTAAAAGTAAAACCATCAATTCAGGACACATGGAGTATAATAAAACTTGTTGCTCCGTATTTTTATGAGTAATTTACTTAAATAGGACTAAAACATAATAATTTTCTCAATATAGGACCATATGTTTTTATTTCCCTATGTAGGACCATTGGTCATTATGTATTAGTCATTATTCAACTAATACATTATACTTCTCACTAGTCATTATTAAGTCTTATTTAAGTAATAAAAAAGTTTAAGTCCTATATTGAAAAATGACTTATGTTTTAGTGTTATTCACTGCAAATTTTACTATTTTTATTCATACAAGAAAATAAGAAACTAAAGAGAGATTGGGCCGTGGTCCAACGACCCTATTAAATCAACATTATTGCGGAACAGCACAAACCCATGTGACATGATTGACAAACATAGTCTGTAAAATATACGTACGGAGTATTTCAAAATTCCTAAAACGCCCACCCCACCAACACCTCTCCTCCGGCTCTCTCTCTCTCTCTCTCACATGACAGCAACAATCCCGGCAGTTTCGGAGCCGTCGGCGAGACGCGGCTCGGAGATTCCGTCACCACAGTTGTTCCTGACGGCGGTGAGCTCGTACGGCGAAGTATCGGTGGCCAGCCACTGGTCCACCGTAAACGTCTGCTTGCTACAGTTCTGGTGGATGCCGGTGACGGTGACCTCGACGTAGTTACAGTACCAGCCGTGGTGCGGGCCGGTACCGTCGGAGGTGAGGTTCATGAGGCAGACCGGCCCAGTCAGACACGGGCCGCGCCCGCTGAAGATGTCCAGATTCCCCCTCTCGAAGTAGTCGTAATCCGGGCCCATAAGCCCACCCCAGGCCTCGAGGTTGTTGATCCTGATCCCATAGCCGCCGGCGTCGTAGAGAGTCAACGTGATGTTCGAATCCGTTCCGGCTTTCAGGATTGACCCGGTTCTCACATAAACTGTATACACACAATCCGGATCCTTGATTGACCCGAAATACAAGGGTGAAAAAAAAACAGAACGATTAAACGCGGATCGATTATTGCTCGACGATCCAAAAAAGATGATGGATTGGGAACTTACAGATCCGGAAATGGCAGAGACGGCGAAGGAGATGAAGAAGACGGCGACGGAGAATTGGGAGCGGATAGAGTTGACCTTCACCATTTGATTTCACTTTCTGGAGGTTTTCTTCTTCTGAGTAGGTGAGTGATGATGAGTGAGTGCAACGAGTATAGGCGGGTGAGCTGTTTATAGAAATTAGAGGGTGGAAAATTAAAAAAATAAATGGGTCTGGAGCGTCACACAGGCGGTTGGTAATAATAATATTAATAATAATAACAGAAATAATAATAATAGTAGTGGTAGTAGTAATAATAATAATAATTTATATATATATATATATATATATATATATATATATATATATATATATAATGACATGTGACAATCTTTAAAGATGTATTTTCTTTTTTAGTATTTCATCTCCTTCTCCTTCCTTTTTCAATTATTTCATCTTTTTTACTATGTTTTTAAAAAATGATAATTAATTATTCTGAATTCAGGAATCGAGATTTAGAATTAATAGAATTTTTAAATTTTAATAAAATTTTATTTTATCATAAGTATACATGAACATTTTTTAATACCTGCTTGGATTTAATAAATTATAAAATTTTTGAACAAACATTTAGGCATATGATTTTTTTTAAAAAAAATAAAATGTTGTAATCATGTCAATTAAAAATCATACAATTCATCAAAGATCTAGAAAGTTATGTTATTTGTCAAATGATCAACAAAAATATATTTTAAAAATTAGTCAATAGAATTCAGGGCAAAACAAATTTAAAAAAAAAAATAGAATTTCAGGAATTTATTTAAACAATCAGTGAATAGGATAGAACGGAAATAAAATCATTTTTATAGAAAAGTTAATAGAAAGTAAAAAACAAAACAAAATGTAAAGTTTTAGCAATTATTGATAACAATTTGATCTACTTATAATTAAAAACGTATTTAATACAAAATAAATATAATACGGAGTAATTGTTTAAAAATATATCAACTGCTAAACTTAAAATTAATAAAGATTTCTCTTTATATATCAAAAACCTTTTCTTTTACAAACAAAATATTCTCTCAGCCTCTAGAAATTTTCATATTTGTTAAATATATACGGAGTATTTGATATAAAGAAGTTACTTATTATTATATATACTAAAACAAAAAATATACATTTAAAATACAAATAGTATTTAATAAAGAATTCCTTCAAAAAAAGTATTTAATAAAGAATCATTAATTCTTTATATATAAAATTGATACTTAGATCACTAATTATATACTCCCTCCGTCCCAAAAAGATTTACACGTTCCAAAAAAATTGCGTCCCACAATCCCTTACCCATTTCTATTAAAAAACCACTTTTACCTCTTACTTTTTCAAACCCTACTTATCACATCATACTTTTTTTCTAATAATCTACACATCACATCATACTTTTACACATCACATCAAAGATATTTTTGGAAAGTCAACATAAAATTATCTGTCCCTTAATTTCTACTTTAGTCAAATTGTATCCATCTTTATGGGACGGAGGGAGTATTTAGTGAAACATATTTTTAAGAGATAACTATATATACATTTAATAAACCTTTTATTAGAGTACTGCTTTATCGAATAATATATATTTAGACTAGAATTAGTATAATCCACAAAAAAATTTAAGACAAATAAAGAATAATTAATTATTTATATATAAAAAATGATACTTAGATCACTAAGAAACTAACATATGCCATATTTATCCGGCCTTTTTAAACACATAATATATCTAAATTATAAAGTTATCTCATCTATAACATAATTTTAGATTAACAAATAAAATACTCACTTCACATAGAAATAAATTTTATATTTGTTCATAAGTTTACATGACATTAATTTGATTATATTTATTAAAAATTTGACAACTAATAAATAGAATATTTTTCACATATAAATAAATTTTATATTTTTTTGATGCATAATATGCCACCTAATTAAGTATATAGAAACTGTGAATGCAATATTTTGATATGAAATCTTTGAGTAAATTAAATTATGGAAGAGAAACATATGATCTTATGGTAATATTTTTTCCAATTCAATATAGTATTTTTTTTGTCTCTTGATTTTTACTAAAATTTTTAATTAATAAATAATACTCCCTCCTTCCCTGAAAACTTTTCTCCTTTCTTTTTTCATCCGTCCCAAAAAACAATTCTTATTTCTATTAAAAAATTACTTTTACCCCTTACTTTTTCATACCCTACCTATCACATCATACCTCTTTACTAATAATCTACCCACCAAATCCTACTTTTACCAATCACATCAAAGGACATTTTTGGAAATTCACTACCAAAATACACTCCCCTTAAATCTCTTCAAAATCAAAACATCCCATGTTTAAAGGGACGGAGGGAGTATGTTTTTTGACATCTAAATAATTTTAACCCACGTATTTTTTATGACATGTTTAGATGAAATTAGATTTTATTCGTTTTAATTTAATATTGATGTAAAATTAAAACCAAACAATATATTTTAAAAACTACATTAACAAACTATAAAATTAAAACCAAACAATACTATAATTTCTTTAAATAGAAAAGGCTTTTAAATAATAAATAAATATTATGTTCACACATAAATTAATTTTTCATTCTTAATTTCTTGTGATATGTTTAAACAAATCCAGATTAGTTATATTAATTTAAATATTCAAATGGGAAGCACGTGCATGGATCTTAATGGTAGATTTATTTGTTTTGATCTTGTTATTGTTGTATGCTCTTAAAAGAACTTGGTATTACTTTTCTTTTTTACCCTAAATGAGATTGGCATATTTTATGTCAAAAAGGGGGAGAAAAGACTTAGTTCTTAAAAGATGCTTTAATCTTTTATACACATGGTGCACGATGTATTTTGCCAAAAATTCCAAAAGGGGGAGATCGAAAATCACTAATTAAGAGCTATGCAAACTAATCAGTCAACTATGCTGCAGAGAAGATACTGTATCACTGTCACAGTAATGGATGACACATAGTGTGCTATAACACCTTTTTCGTCATGAGCATACACACATAGAAGCAGATGATGCAGAGGGTGTTACAGCGCCTACTGCAGAATGCTGTAACTATAAAATGCGAAAATAATAACACCAGATATGTTTACGCAGTTCGGAGAACTCTCCTACGTCTGCGAGGCCCACGTCCGTGTAATAGCCCTCTACTAAATCACTAGATGCAAATTACACCGGTACATAACAACATGATGAGATCAGACACACTTCTCCGAATTGTTATGACAAAACTTCTAATCTAGGAATTCTAACCCGTACCCTGTACAGATCCGCTTCAGCTATCACATCTCCACCAAGATCACGAGGACAAATGTGTTGGCAGCCCTCTCCTTAAGCTCTTGTCCACCTCCTGGTTGTCACGATCTGTTTTTCATTGTTGGACTCCTTCATATAGATCGTATCTTTCTTCACCCACGAGAAGATCTGAGAAGCGGCTGGAATGCTCTACATCAGCGTATATCCTTTGATTTTCCTCTCGATCGCTCCGAGTAAATAATTCCCAGGGATCTGCTACGTTTTTATAGGCTTCTCTTAACACAATCCTAGTATGAATAAGTTAGTAGAAGATGGCTTGAATACAAATTCCTTAATATTGATCCACAAGTAGCCTAAAGAGTTGGGAATCCTTAACATGTACAGCGGGAGTTATTATCATGTAATCATAATCCCAATAGGTCTCTGATTCAGATTGCAACTTAAAATCCTGCGCTCAAACTTCTGATCCTGAACGGTGTGTTGCAGCATTGTGTTGTAGCATGTTCTGTGTCAACCTCGAAAACTACAGCAACTCTAGAAGTCTAAATAACCTAAAAAATATGAGATTCTATTTTGCCAAAAGATTAGCTAAGACCATGGAACAAACAACATCGACTCCAGTTGACAAACGACGCACCAGCATCGAACTTTGGTATTGGCTATGACATGAAAGAGATATGATCATTGTTAAATTATAATTTTAGTTTTCAATTTAACACCAATATTGCCAAGCTAAGGAACCAATTACCAACTCAACAAAAAATTCAAGCTTGTGGTTGTGGCACATAAAAGGTTTTACTAAAAAATATAAAAACTCATGTTATAAAAGATCAATTATAGAATTTATTTATAAAGTATTAAAATAGCTAGCGCGGTTTGAGTTTCAGCCTGGGTGTTGATTTAACTTGTAAACATTCAAATGCGTGTCTCAAAGCTAATTAGTGCATGCCTCACTAAGTATGCATGAACAACATTTTTAGCTAGCGAGCTCTCATCACATAATAATGTCTCAATTTAATTTGTTCAAGTTCATAATCCAAAAGAAATTACACAACTATTGACAAGGAAAAAAAACCGATGGATATACACATGCATGCAAGGCACTGATCGAAGAAGAAGTAAGGCATGCATGCAGGTACTACGGAGTATATTTTCGATCATGTGTTAGAAATGTCAAACAAAGGAATAGTGTCAAACAAAGGAATTGATTGTAATATCTTGATAATATCCTTGATTGGAATCAAATTACCAATCAAGATATTTGATTAGGTTCCAATCACCTTCCTTAATTGTCCTCTTTATGTAATTTGTAATATTTATAGACACCAAGTGTGATGTATTCAAATTAAGATGAATATTATGCTGTGAATTCATTCTAATATTTCTAATATGGTATCAAAGCCATCATTCGATCAAACAATTGAATGAAACGCAGCATTCATCATATACCATAAAAAAATATGTCCGATAAAACTCCTCAAACGGGCAGTTCCATAAACACAGAGGAATCTGACCCGAAAAATCAGCCGATCAATCTTGCACAAATTCTGGAAATTCTTCAAAATTTTCAAAATTTGGCACCCAAGGCCGAACCTATCGAGAGCTCTTCCAATCAGCCATTAAATATGGCGGAAAAGCGCAACGATAGGAACTACGCCATTTGGGCGCGCAAAATGAGTCTGGCGTTGGAAGGGAGAGGGCGGCTCAAGCACATCACTGCCACACCTCTCAAATCTGATGACCCCAAATTTATCAAATGGAGACAAGCAGACTCAACGGTTATAACATGGATTCTAGAAAACATAGAATCGGATATTGTCAATTAATATATCGATTATCCTACTGCTTGGGATCTGTGGAAGGGAATCGAAGCCACCTATGGCTTCGGGAAAGATCCCTTGCAGGTATACAACTTGATGGTGAAAGCTAGCAACATCAAACAAGGAGACCAGACACTAGAGAAGGTCTATAGCCAATTGCAAGCTGTGTGGAAGGAAATCGACAGGAGGCGACCCAACCCGATGAAATGCCCAG